AGTGTCACCTCCCACGGAAACCCACAGCACCTTGTCATATTTCCTATCAGACTACCCTCCACTGTCTATTTACATCTGCCTTCAATGCTATTCTGTGAGTGTTTTAAGGCTAGAAGCATGTTTTTCATTATATCTTTGTAGTTCCACTGTCCAGGCAATGCCTGGTATGTAGTAGGCTCTCAGATGTCATTATATGAATGCAACTGAACAATGTCTCTATAGAAAAATACTTTTTCTGCACTTCAACTGAGCTATGACGCACATTCACTGCTTAGCCATCGACCCTCACACCCCTCCATAAAGACTGCTTGTTGAATCCCTACTATTAACATTCCTACTATCTGAGCACCCAGAATAGGCACTGGAAAGGATTACACTACAGCTTTCCATTTAGATTAAGTTTCCCATGACAATGAAAACAGAATAATACTGAAAGAACTAAAGAGGGAAACAGACTGAGCCATGGTTCTAGTGTCTACACACCCTACAGGGCACTTAAACCACATACGGAAAGCTGGTGGTGGGTTTTCAGAATGAGCCCACTCCCCCTGCTGTGTAAGAGGAGAACTGCACCTCCGGCCAATAGGCATGCACTTGAGTCTCTGTGGAGCAAGTCACATAAACCCATGCCAAGTGCAACCTTTGAGCTGAAATCAGAAAGCAGAATAAAGACATCAGGTTATGATCATTATTGTTAAAGGCGCTTGACAGGCAGATCTAAAGGACACTGACAAATATTTCAAATGGAAGAACTGTGAACATATATGATCAATAAAGCCACAAATAAAAATGAAGTAACAATAGGATGGGATAACATAAATCTGGCGTGGCAAATGCCAGTGCTAAAATGGACACGGTTGGGCACTACCCTATACATCAGATGATTTAATCCTCACAACATACCTCCAGGTAAGTATTAGCCCATTTGACAGATGAGAGGCCCAGGCAGTAAGGGCTACCCACGTTTCTAACATAGGCTGGCCCTCAAAGCCCAAGTTCTTCCCAGGAAACAACCTATCAGTCTTGCTTGTTCTATTTAGACAGATGGGAGCTTTCAGACGAAATGTGTCTACTTTAACTAGAACAATCAGCATGGAAAAAAGTGAGAAAGCTGCCAAAGGCTACCTTTCGAAAAGCACAGGCCTCGCTGCTGTCACCGGAGACACTACTGAACTTCCCAAGAACAGATAACCATGTGCCACTTAAACTGTCCGAGAGCATAAAAACCTTCCAAATCAGTTTTTACAAAGCCAGCAGAACACTGACACCAAAACATGACACAGATAACATCCACCAAATAAACACAGGCCAAACATCATTCACCAGCATTAACGCTCATATTTTACTTAGAATTTTAAAAAAACAATCCAGTGATGCGCAAGATGATCCAGTCTAAACCCAGAACTGCAAGGCTGGATATATATAAGAAAAGTGCTTTTAGTTTATGAATTCAAAGGAGAAAAGGCAGGATAACCACACCTCCATCAATGTTGAAAACACCAGTGAAATATTCAATAGTGATTCCCGATTTTTTAAACTCTTAATAAAACAGGACTTAAAAAATATGTAGCTCAAGGCAAACAACAGCAACCTCAAGGCAAAAGATAGTATCATATTTAAAGTAGAAACATTTCATTAAAGTCAAAATCAAGACAAAAATGTCCACTGGTGCTCAGTGAAGTGGACAGATGCTGTATGATCTCATTCATGCATGGGAACTAAATGAGCCAAACTCCTAGACCAGAGAGGACAACAGTTGGCAGGGGCTGGGGTGTGAGAAAAGTGGGGAGATGCTAGTCAAACTGCCAGGTGATGACTAGGTCTTGGAGATCTGGTGTACAGTAAGTGACTATCTATACTAATAAAAGCCTAGGTCGTGATGTCGTCACAAGATGGCTGCCACAAGATGGCCACCACAAAGATGGCCGCATGCACAGAAAGGCGGGGCCGGGCGGCTGCTCCGCACGGTAAGGCCCATGGCTCCACCTGGCACAGAGCTGGCACAGAGGAGGCCAGTCAAGGCATCTCGGCCGCCTCATGCGGTGAGGCGGTCCCAGCAGCGGCAGGGGAGGGCAGTTGGGGGCATCGGCTGGCAGGGAGGGCAGTTGGGGGCCATCGGGCCGGCAGAGGAGGGCAGTTGGGGGCCATCGGGCCGGCAGAGGAGGGCAGTTGGGGGCCATCGGGCCGGCAGGGGAGGGCAGTTGGGGGCCATCGGGCCGGCAGAGGAGGGCAGTTGGGGGCCATCGGGCCGGCAGGGGAGGGCAGTTGGGGGCGATCAGGCCAGCAGGGGAGCGATTAGAGGGTGATCAGGCTGGCAGGCAGAAGCAGTTAGGGGTAATCAGGCAGGCAGGCAGGAGAGCAGTTAGGAGCCAGTGGTCCCAGACTGTGAGAGGGATCAGGCCTAAACCGGCAGTCAGACATCCCCCGAGGGGTCCCAGATTGGAGAGGGTGCAGGCTGGGCTGAGGGACACCCCTCCCCATGCATGAATTTCGTGCACCAGGCCTCTAGTCTATATATATAAAAGCCAAGCGACTGGAACAACCGGAGCAACCAGTCACTATGACGTGCACTGCGGCTGGCCAACCAGCCCGATATGGGCCCCAATCGGCGCCCCCACCCCACAGCCAGCCCGGCCCCCAATCGGCCCCCAAAACCCCAATCAAGGGCAGGGCCGGCCAGCCAACCACCTGCGGCCTCTCCCCCCAGCCGGCCCAGCCTGATGGGCCCCCATCGGGGCCGGCCGGCTGGGCCCCACCCGTGCACAAATTTGTGCACTAGGCCTCTAGTAGTTAATAATACTGCATAGTATATATGAGACTTGCTAAGAGAGTGGGTCCTAAGTGTTCTTATTCACACATACGAAATGTAACTATATGAGGAGGTGGATAATCACTTACACAATATACATATATTAAATCATTACATTGTGTACCTTATATATAATTTTTAAACTTTATTTTTATTGTTGAAACTATTACAAATGTCCTCATTTCCCTCCACCTTTGCCCACCTCCACCCAGCCCTCACCCGCCCTCCCTCTGGCCATCACCACACTGTTGTCTGTGAAATATATACAATTTTTATTTGTCAACTATACCTCAATAAAGCTGGAGAAAGTTTAAAAATAAAAAATATGATAGAAGAAAAATTCCTATTTAAAATATCACACACACACACACACACACACACACACAGATTAGAAAACTTTGTATTACTACAGAACATAAAGAACTGACCAGCCCTGGCCGGTTTGGCTTGTTTTGGTCCTTACTGGAAACCGCCCTCTTGTCCAATGTGACTTCCTCTCAACATTTAGTGTCGGAAGCACAAGGAAGTAAAAGTCATGGTCAAACTGGTATTTCTTCCCCTGTGCTTCCACCGCCCCTATGCCAGGAAGTTGCACTCAAGTTCTGTCAAGTGGTTGCCCAACAGGACCCAGGAAGCCAGGCTTACACCTGATGACCGTGACTGGGGCAGAGTCACCCCGAGGACACTCACTGTACAGCATACGTGTATGATACAGGGGCACTCACGCCTACAGCGGCTTTTTCTTTACCATGACAAATGGTTCAACAACAGGTATGTAAAAATAAACATGGGGGAGGGAACATCTGTCTGTTCTCTTTCCCACCCTCCATTTTGTCTATCATCAACACAAATCTAAAACCATTTGGTAAATGTTAAGACAAGCATTAAATATGAACAGTCGAACCTGAAGGGGGAAATAATCTTTAAAATGTCTGCAAGCTCTTAGAGGTTTTAACCCGGCTGAGCTAGGCAGTAAAATTTTTTTTAAAAAAACCTAAAGATTTAAAAATATTAACATGTATTACTTATATAATAAACTAGAGGCCCGGTGCATGAATTCGTGCACGGGTGGGGTCCTCGGCCTGGCCAGCTATCAGGGCCGGCTGGCCGGGGGAGGGACCACGGGAGGTTGGCCGGCCGCGGGAGGTTGACTGTGGGAGCGCACTGACCACCAGGGGGCAGCTCCTGCCTGAGAGTCTGCCCCCTGGTGGTCCGTGCACGTCATATTGACCGGTCTACGGGTCGTTTGGTCAACCAGTCATAAAGGTCACTTAGGCCAGTATACAGATAATTTTATATTACTGTACATTAACTTACAAAAATGCAAAAGAGAGTCTTAAAGTCATAACTTTCAACATGACCTGAAACGCAAACCACGCTAGCTGAAACTGAGTCAGTGTGAACTGCAGCCACTAGCCACAGCGCATCTGAACGAACAGAACCAAACCACTTCTTCTCATCTACTCTCCCTTCAACAGTGCTGAAGAGCAGACCACACAATGGAAAAACCAAACGTTACACAAAGGAATGATATAAGCTGGAACACAAAAAGGGAAAAACAGGTGACAGCATTTATCATTTTTAGAGTCTAGGACAAGAAATTTAAAATACAAAATAGCTACAACATTCTGCAAGTATATACGGGTAGATTCAAAGGCATGCTTTATAGCTTGACTCAGCTTATAAGCTACTATATGGTGCAAGCTCCATTTAAAAGCAGAAAATAGGGGCCCACAGTAGGCTTCCTCTCTGGAGTGGGGAGACCTGACTGAGCACTAATTATTACCACTGCAAAGGGACTAGAGTTCTATGACGGCCACATCAATCCCTGGCCGGTGGTTAGATCACCGGCCCCATGCACCAAAGGGTCATGGGTTCAATTCCCAGTCAAGGGCATGTACTTGGGTTGTAGGTTCGACACCTGGCCCCGGCTGGGGCACATGCAGGAGGCAACCGGTCAATGATCTTTCTCCCATAGATGTTTCTCTCCCCCGCTCCCGACTCCCTCCCTTCCACTCTCTCTAAAAATCAATGGGAAAAAATATTCTCGAGTGAGGATTAACAACAAAACAAAAAATCCACATCGAGATGAACATTCACCAAGGAGGTATTTCCCAGGCCATTCCGAGAAACAGAATCACAAGCACCAATAACCACCTATGCTGGGGAAGAACGGCCTGACCACACTCACCGTTTTCCACATAGGGATGGAAGGGCAAGACCAGGGCAAGGATGACCCTGCCTCTAGTTGGCTCCAAGACACTTCTGATATCTTTTAACAAAGTCAGGGGCTGATCACAGCGGTCCAGCAAATTCAAGCAGCTGATGACATCATACTGGAACCCTGTATTCTGCCATTCATTTATACCGAGCACTCTGGAAAAATCAGAAAGAACTGGATTGATACAAAACTCCCTTACAGACACCTTTAAAAATAACTGAGATGCCAGTAAAGGCTCTAACTTTGTCTTCTAATTCAAAGTGAATTCAAAATCTTCATTTATAACCTATATTTGCAGAAATAAAAGGGCCAGGGCAAGAGAAAAATAGCTACCATATTTTTTTTAATTTAGCATTTCACCTATTTCCAAATCTCAAAACATATAAAATTTTCTTTTCAAGAGCTAATCATATATTTAATAAGTATGACAACATGATGATAAAAATGATTATAAAACTAAAGCACCAAATCCTTGAACATCAGTTAATGAAGAAAGAGTCCTACTTTCTACATTCACAGGTATTTAATCATAAAATACATATTTATGGTTTCTATTCCTAGTGTCCCTCCTATTTAAAAAAAAAAAGAAATGTTTTTTATTGTTGCTAGTATTACAGATGTCTCCCATTCCCCCCTTATCCCTTCGTCCCAGTTACTACCCCCACCCAGGTCTTCACCCCCTCCTAATTTTAAGAAAGGCTGGGGGTGGTACAGATAATTCCCATTTTCAAACTATGACCTATTGAGCATATCTGTTCCCAGAAGAGAGATATACGTCATACTTTAAGATTTTCACGTCTAAATACCTTTACAGAAGAGAAAGCACAGGACACCCCATTAAAGCCGTGACTCACGCAGAGCACAGTCCACACACTACCACAGCCCTCAATCTCTCCCTCTCCCCTGTCCTCTTTTTCTCAAACAACACTCCTAGTGCTTTACAATGTTTATCCATCGAAAGGGGGAGATCTTATATCAAGAGTCTTTTTCAGCCACACCATCACGGCATTTTATATCTTCTTCACTCCTACTTGGTTATAGCAATCAGAATGTGGTAGGCGCTGCCTGTTAGAACAGACAGGAAAAGGATCCCCAGCCCTCGCCAGGTGGCTCAGTTGGTTGGAGCGTCGTCCCATACACCAAAGGTTGCAGGTTCAACTCCCGGTCAGGGCACATACATAGGTCCAATCCCCTGTTGGAGCATGTGCGGGAGGCAACCAATCGATGTTTCTCTCTCAGTCTTTCTCTAAGGATCAATGAACATGGCCACGGGTGAGGATTTAAGAAAAAGGAGTCTGGTGAACAAGTCTTTCATAATGCTGAGCAGATATAGCAGAGATAACCTAGAAAATTCTAAACATATCTTGAGGGCTGCTTGGCGAAAACTCACTTTGCTTCCCACACTCACTTTCAAAACACAGATTTTTTTAAAAGTGGACAGAGAGTCAGATTAGGAATTCAGCATGACTTAAGCTACTGTTATAACAAAGGTCAGACACTTGAAATGGTAAATTAATTTCTAACTGAAGGAATATGGTTTAATTAATAGACCCAGGAGGATTTATCAGAGACAAATAGCTGGAGCTAAGGGAGGTCTTACAAGTCAGTCCTGTGACATCCCTACCGCTTTTTAAACACTGAGGATGACAAGGCCTTGGATGCTGGAGCTGGGAGGAAGGTCAATCTCCCTGACCTCTAATTCAACTTCTAAGGCCCAGTTGTGCCGGATCATACACACACGTGCTCCATCCTTCCATGAAAAATCCCATTAGATATCTGTTTGCAGTAACTTCCCTTCCACCCTTTCCTACGTGGTCTCCTAGGCTAAATATCTCTGTGTTTGCCAGTATTCTAGGAGCTGTTTTGTCCTGCTCCAGGAGCTACGCTGACACACTGTATAAGCAGAAACTTAGGTGGATAGAAAAGTGAGTATGTAATTCTTTCTCCTTTCTAAGGCGAAGCCCAGCTTCTCTTAGGTTCCCCCCACTTCCCACCTCCCCATTCTAAACTCAGCCCCCTTTTCTCCCACTCAACAGAACCCATACTGAGCAAAGAAGAGCCTTCTTCCTAAGTCTCTCAAGCAATGGATGGTCTCAAAACCAAGATTTGACACTTCATACTCATTAGGATGGCTATGGAAGGAAGGAAGGAAGGAAGGAAGGAAGGAAGGAAGGAAGGAAGGAAGGAAGGAAGGAAGGAAGGAAGGGGAGAAGTAAGGGAAGAAGGGAAGGAAGGAAGGAAGGAAGGGAGGGAGGGAGGGACGGAGGGAGGGAGGGAAAGGAAGGGAGGGAGGGAAAGGAAAGGAGGAAGGGAAAGAAAGAAAATAAGTATTGGCGAAGATGTAGAGAAACTGAAACTCTTGTACACTGCTATAAAATGGTGTAGCTGCTATGGGAAAAATTTCCTTAGAAAGTTAAACAGCAGCCGGTGTTGCTCAGTGGTTGAGCATTGACCGATGAACCAGGAGATCACGGTTCGATTCCTAGTCAGGGCACATGCTGAGGTTGCAGGCTCAATCCCAGGTTGGTTGGGGCGCATGCAGGAGGCAACCGATCGATGTTTCTCTCTTACATGGATGTTTCTCTCTCTCTCTCTCTCTCTCTCTCTCTCTCCCTCCCTCCCTCCCTCCCTCTCCCTCTTCCTTCCTCTCTGTAAAAATCAGTAAAAACATGTCTTTCTTAAAAAAGTTAAACACAGAATTACCATATGACCCAACAATTCCACTGGGTATATACACAAAAGAAGTGAAAGCAGGGACTCTAACAGGTATGTGTACACCCAGGTTCACAGCAGCATTACTCACAACAGCTAAAAGGTAGGAACAGCCCAAGTGGCCATGACAGATGAAGGGATGCAAAAGGAGAGATTTCTGACACCCGCTACAACATGGATGAACTCTGAAGGTACTATTTTAAGTGAAATAAGCCAGTCACAAAAGAACAAATACGGTAGGATTCCTTTTATTTGAGGTACCTAGAATAGTCAAACTTCTAGAGACAGAAAGTAGAATAGTGGCTGCCAAGGGATGGGGAGAAGGAGTGTTTAATGGGCATGAGCCAGCTTGAGAAAATGAAAAGGCTCTGGATGGTTACACAACAATGTGAATGTGCGTAACACCACTGAACTATACACTTAGGAATGAATAGAACAGTAAATTCTACGTTATATATTTTTACAATAAATTTTTTTTTCACTAAAATATTTCAGAATGCCAGATTCTAACCAGGGAATGAGCCCCTACATCTGATCTCTCTCCAGAATGGCTCCCACCTGCTCTCTCCCGCCCAGTAGTCCCAACTCTGCCAAGGAAAGAGGACTTCTCTCTCAAGTCCACTTCACTGTAATGTGGAAAGCTGTTCTTTTTAGTTCTTAATCATGGAAAATTGTTTCTGATTCATATCCTTTAAATAATATGCTGTCAAGAAGAAATACACCTAAAATCAAGAAAACTAGCCCAAATCATGTCTAAAAGTTATACCTGTATTTCTTCTTCTGAAGCTGCCATATCATCGTTTCAGACAGCTCAGTGGCATAAATTTCTTCAAAATGCGGGCTCATGATTTTTGTGACTTCTCCATCTCCAGCACCTAAGTCGAGAAGTCTATGGGTTTTCCAGTCAGGGTTAATTCTAAGCAGTCTCTGAAACTGATCTGGGGAAAACACAAACATTGAGCCTCTTCCGAGCAACCTGGAAAAGAAAGGACAACATGGAAGAGTCAACACAGGTAAGCACTGCCCATACACATACACACACAGAGCGGCTGTGGAGACTCAGCACCAACAGCTCTTTGAACTTACAAAATGTTTAGTTTTATATGATTATGTGATTAAAATATATATAATATTTTATATGATTTATATCATGGTCAAAAAACAATGTTAGTAAAATAAGGAAATACCTCCAGGTAGCATCATTTGTCTTTGAGGTTGCAAATAACAACCCAAAAGGAGTGGGACATGGAGAGGAATAAAAGATGAAAGGGAGGCCCTAGCTGGTTTGGCTCAGTGGATAGTGTCCGCCTGCAGACTAAAGGGTCCCAGGTTCGATTCCGGTCAAGGGCACATGCCTGGGTTGCAGGCTCGATCCCCAGTAGGGGGCATGCAAGAGGCAGCCAATCAATGATTCTCACATCATTGATGTTTTATCTCTCTCCCTCTCGCTTCCTCTCTAAAATCAATAAAAATATCTTTAAAAAAAAAAGATGGAAACGGAAAAGAATGAGAGGGGAAGGAAAGAGAAGGAAAAAATGACTAAGAAAAGATGAATGTGAAAAATTTATGTCAAAATAGGAAGGAGATGGAAGGAGTAACCATACACATGTTTATCAGGTTAAAAAGATGGCAGACCAACAGAAACAGGCCACAGCACTAGCCAACAATACGAAGCAGAAACACCAAATATGAAAAAGAAGCCTTTATGAAACTAAAATAGTAAGAAAAAATAGTTGTAGTATGATTTAAGACAAAAGAGAAAAAGAGTGGTCCTTGTGATATCAGTTAATTTGCATTAAGAAAGTAGATTCATACTCGTGTCAATTTATATACAATTGGTGGGGCCTATTATTTCTAAGGATCCTAAAGAAACACTCAAAATCACAGGAATGCCTTTGGAAAACAGACTGAGGCGTTAAGGGGAAACAACAAATCCTGGAAAGAAGGCACAGCTCACGCCAAGCCTCCAGAAGCTTCGTGGAAATAACAACTCCAATCAGAACTGGTTTTCTGGCTCTCAAATCATGGCTGGTCTAGCGCAGGGACCTCACACGTTACATGAAGTGGAACCCATAGACAGTGCACAACGATCCGGGAGCCAGCTGGAGTGCGATCTGGGCACCCCAAGGGCCTTTCTGTACAGTCAACAGCTCCGGAGCCACTTCCGCCTCGGCCCTGGGAGCCAGTCTGAAAGCCACCGGGCTAAGAGACAGCAGGAACTCTGCCCTGCACTGGCACTTTCTGGAAATGCCATGAGGCACAATACATTTGTTATACAGGGACTGGAAAGATGCGGGCAACTTGGTGCTCCTGCTAAGACCCGTTTCAGGAAAAAATATTAGCTGTGGAGTGCATATAACAAACTCCCCCTCCCATTTTCCTACTGAGGCCATAGGAGAGTTTAACCAAATCTAATATTGTTTGACCAATAAATCTCCCGCCCCACAGAAATGTTAAAAAATGAGGTGGGGGGTCAGAGAGGAAAGATGATGCGGCTCACAAAAACTGCTGACTAGAGAAAACAGTATCCTGGAAAGACACGTTTTTAAATTTAAAGTTTAATTTTATTTTTCCATTGATTTTGAGAGTGAGAGAAAGAGATGTAAGAGAGAAACATTGATCAGTTGCCTCCTCTAGATGACCGGACCAGGGAATCAAACCCACAAATTAGGAATGTGCCCTGTCCGGGAATAGAACCTTTTGGTGTATGGGACAATACTCCCAACCAAATGAGCCACCCAGCCGGGGCAAGACAAGTTGTTTTTACTATTTCTTCTTTCTTTCTTTTTTCTTAATCTTTATTACTGAAAGTATTACATAGGTCCCTTTTTTCCCCGTTAACCTCTCCCAGCCCACTCCTGTCCGCCCCCAAACCATCACTATCCCATTATCTGTGTCCACAGGTTAAGCATATATGCATACAAGTTCACTGGTTGATCTCTTCCCAACCACCCTCCCCTACCATCCCTCTGAGGTTCAACAGTCTGTTCATGCTTCTATGTCTCTGGATCTATTTTTGTTCATCAGCTTATTTGGTTCATTAGATTCCACATATGAGTGAGGTCATGTGATACTTATCTTTCTCTGACTGGTTTATTTCACTTAGCATAATGCTCTCCAGGTCAATCCATGCTGTTGCAAATGGTAAGAGTTCTTTCTTTTTTACAGCAGCATAGTATTCCATTGTGTAGATGTGCCACAGTTTTTTAATCCACTCATCTGCTGATGGGCACTTAGGCTGTTTCCAAATCTTAGCTATTGTAAATTGTGCTGCTATGAACATAGGGGTGCATATGTCCTTTCTGATTGGTGTTTCAGGTTTCTTAGGATATATTACCGGAATTGGGATTACTGGATCAAATGGGGGTTCCACTTTTAATTTTTTGAGGAAACGCCATACTGTTTTCCGTAATGGCTGCACCAGTCTACATTCCCACCAGCAGTGCACTAGGGTTCCCTTTTATCCACAACCTCGCCAATACTTGTAGTTTGTTGATGGTAACCATTCTCACAAGTGTTAGGTGATATCTCATTGTCATTTTGATTTGCATCTCTGAGATGATTAGTGACTTGGAGCATTTTTTCATATGTCTCTTGGCTTTCTGCATTCCACTTTGAAGAAGTATCTATTTAGGTCCTTTGCCCATTTTTTAATTGGATTGTTTATCTTCCTTTTGTTCAGTGGTATGAGTTCCCTATATATTTTGGAGATTAACTCCTTATCGGATGTATCATTGGCTAATATGTTCTCCCATGTAGTGGCCTCTCTTGTTATTTTTTTGATGAGTTCTTTTGCTGTGCAGAAGCTTGTTATTTCGATGTAGTCCCATTTGTTTATTTTCTCCTTAGTTTCCATTGTCCTAGGAGGAGTATCGGTAAACATATTGCTATGAGAAATGTCTGAGATTTTGGTGCCTATGGTTTCTTCTAGGACTTTTATGGTTTCATATCTTACATGTAAGTCTTTTATTCATTTTGAGTTTATTTTTGTGTAGGGTGTAAGTTGGTGGTCTAGTTTCATTTTTTTGCATGGACCTGTCCAATTTTCCCAACTCCATTTAGTGAAGAGACTGTCTCTGCATCATTGTATGCTCATGCCTCCTTTGTCAAATATTAATAGAGCACAGTGTCTTGGATCAATTTCTGGGTTCTCTGTTCTGTTCCATTGATCTATCTGGCTGTTCTTGTGCCAGTACCAGGCTATTTTGAGCACAGTAGCTTTGTAGTATAACTTGATATCTGATATTGTGATTCCTGCAACTTTGTTCTTCTTTCTCAAGATTCTTGCAGCTATTCGGGGTCTTCTTGAGTTCCATATAAATTTTTGGAGTGTTTGTTGTAGGTCTGTGAAATATGCCATTGGTATTTTAATGGGGACTGAATTGAGTCTGTAGATTGCTTTGGGTAGTATGGACATTTTAATGATGTTGATTCTACCAATCCATGAACATGGTATTTTCTTCCACTTGTTTGTATCTTCCTCCATCTCTTTTTTTAACATCTTGTAGTTTTCAGAGTACAGGTCTTATACCTCCTTGGTTAAGTTTATTCCTAAGTATTGAATTTTTTTGTTGCAATGGTAAAGGAGATTATTTTCTTAGTTTCTCTTTCTGAGAGTTCATTATTGGTATATAAAAATGTTATGGATTCTGGGGTGTTAATTTTGTATCCTGCTACATTTCTGAATTCATCTATTCAATCTAGCAGTTTTTTGATGGAGTCTTTAGGGTTTTCTACGTACAATATCATGTCATCTGCGAATAATGAGAGTTTTACTTCCTTCTTTCCAATTTGAATGTCTTTTATTTCTTCTTTTAAGACAAGTTGTTTTTCTACCCTGTCTTCTAAATCACTGATCCTATCCTCAGCTTCCCCCAATCTGCTGTGTATCCTTCCAATGTGTTCTTTACTTGTGCTGTGTCATTCTTTATTTCCGTTTTTATAGTTACTACTAGAGGCCCGGTGCACAAAAATTTGTGCACTGGGGGGGGGGGGAGGGTGGTCCCTCAGCCCAGCCTGTGCCCTCTCGCAGTCTGGGACCCTTCCGGAGATGACCACCTGCTGGCTTAGGTCTGCTCCCTGGGGGATTGGGCCTAAGCTGGCAGTCAGACATCCCTCTGGCAGCCCGGCAGCCCTCGGGGGATGTCCACTTGCCAACGGGGAGCAGACCTAAGCTGCAGTCGGACATCCTTAGCGCTGCTGAGGAGGTGGGAGAGGCTCCCACCACCACCGCTGTACTGGCAGCCATCAGCCTGGATTGTGGCTGAGCAGAGCTCCTCCATGTGGGAGCTCACAGACCACCAGAGGGCAGCTCTTGCATTGAGCGTCTGCCTCCTGGTGGTCAGGGTGTGTCATAGTGACCAGTCATTCCCAGTCTTTCTGCTGTTAGGGTCAGTTTGCATATTACCCTTTTACTATATAGGATAGAGGCCTGGTGCACAGGTGGGGGTCAGCTGGTTTGCCCTGAATGGTGTCCCGGATCAGGGTGGAGGTCCCCACTGGGGTGCCTGGCCAGCCTGGATGAGGGGCTGATGGCTGTTTTCAGGCTGCCTGCACCCCCTTCAGGGTGGGGGTCCCCACTGGGTGCCTGGCCAGCCTGGATGAGGGGCTGAGGGCTGTTTTCAGGCAGGCCAAGCCTGCAACTGAAGCTCCCAGTCTCTCCTTTTTTTCTTTTCTTTTTTTTTATTCTGGGATTTATTTACCTTCTGTAATTGAAACTTTGTTGCGGCTCCAGCTCCAAGGCCGGCTGGCTGAAAGCAGGTTTCTGGGGTTTGTTTAGCTTCTATAATTGCAACATTGTTGCATAGACTGGAGCTCAGAGCCCGGCTGCGGCAGGCGGGGAACCTTGGCTTCCTCCATCACTGGAGCAACCAAGCCTCCTGTTCGCTTCAGCTGCCTGGCTGCCGGCCGCCATCTTTGTTGGCAGTTAATTTGCATATCACCCTGATTAGCCAATGGGAAGCGTAGCGGAGGTATGGTTAATTACCATGTTTGTCTATTATTAGACAGGATATCTTTTTCTCATACTGTTGAGCATCTTTACCATCATTATCTGAACTCTACTAGTATATAGATAAATTTCTTATCTCCATTTCATTTATCTCTTCTTCTGAAGAATTCTCTGTTCTCTCATTTGGGGGTTGTTGTTTTGTCTCCTCATTTTGGCTGCCTGTTTGGGTTTGTGACTATGTATTAGGTAGATCTGCCACGCCTCTCAATCTTTAGTGCAGGATAGTGTCAAATGCTGTTTCTGACTAATTAGATCAGACAAAGACTCAAATCCTCCAGAGATCGCCTCTGCCTGCAGACTGATTGGATTCAGTCTTGAGTACCCCTCAGGCCATCGTCCACACATGTGACAAGAGTTTTTCCAACAGGGTGGGAAAACTGCTTCTACTGGAGGCTAATTGTTATTCTCAGTCTCTTAATGGGTCTCAGAAACTCCACACCAAGGGGCAAGGTGCTTTCCAATAGGGTGGGTCAACTGTCTTCCCAAGCAAAACCGCCTGGATAGCAAATGTCTGCCTGAGAAAGATAACCTCCACAGCGTGAGAGAATGACTCAGCCCAGGAAACCAGGGTGTCTGCCTTCTAATCCTAAAGGCCCCAACCCTGGCTTCTGCTCACATAGCTACAGTCCAGTCTGCCCTCCCTCTGCCAGAGCACACGGTGAGTGTTTGCACATGGAATTTTGTGTGTAAGTCCTTTAAGAGGGTGTCTGCATTTCCAGTCATCTTTCCTGGCAGATAGCAACCCTGCTACTTTTCACAGCCAGATGTGATGTGAGCACCTTTCTCAGTTCTGGAGCTCTCTGCTGGGGGTACCAGCTTGGGGATTAGATCCCAAAGCTCTCAGTGGCAAACCCCCCACAGCTGAGGTACCTTTCCAAAGCTTCAGCTGCTGTCTGTGGAAGCCCATCCAGCCCTTTCATGCCTCCGCCCTTCCTACCAGCCTCTATGTGGTCTCCACATTCCCGCCTTGGTTATCAGGGTTCTCTCCAGCTAGTCTTCAGTTGATTATTCAGGATGTTTTATTTTTTATTTTAGTTGTAATTCCAGTCGGTCTTGGGAGCATGTCTGTGTAGCATCCACTTACTCTGCCGCCATTTTTCTACACCATTTTATCTAAGACAAGTTGTTTTTAATTGTCAATTGTTCACATGTTCTAGTGGGAAAACAGGCTGCAAAGAGCAAACCTGAGAAAAGGAATTGAAATAGCTACACAAAGTAACCTGTCAGAGAAAGGAGGTTGCCGAGGTCGCAGCAGCAGGGCTGGGGCTACATGTGGCCAGGGGTAGTGCTGACTTGCAAAGGACCAAAAGTCAATTGCAAAATAGTTCTTTGGCTTAAATGTTTCCAGTTATAAAACAACATGGTTCCATCTCCTTAGGATGCAGCAAACCTTAACAGATAATCATAAAATTCTAGAGCTTGAGGTCATCTGAGGTCAGAGCTCAGGAGGTCACCTCACTGGTCTACATCTAAAAAAAGGCACCAGAGAGAGAAGCACTGCCCTACTTCCAAAGATCATGACCAACTGAGGCTCCACAAAAAGATTAAAACTGTGAAAAAGAAATCAAAATTCATTGAGCCCAGTGTTTCTCAACCAAGACAAACTTTACCCTCCAAGGGTCATTGGGAGAAGGAAGTGGACAAGACCAGACTTCCTGCAATGTGTGGGACAGTCCCACACAATGAAGAATTATCCCACTTAAAATGTCGAGACACTGACCTAGCTCAACCCAGGTTTCCAGCAAATACATGCCATGGAGAGGTCTGGCTCTCTAATTTGCCTTTAATCCCCAAAGTTAGTGATGTCCATGTGATTTTTTTTTTTTAAGTGTTGAATAAGCATCCTAGGTTCTCTGGTCACAATCTAAGTCCCTTCTAGACTCCAGAATCTGCAGAGGAGGTGTGCCTCCTTATAAACATCTTCCTTATAAAATCAACACCAACACAGCCACCAAGTCTCTCCTTACCTGGCCTTCCCCTTCCATTACAAAGGAAGGCTGATAAGCATCTCATCTTAATTCAAGAAGGTGCCATAGTAATTGTTTCTGAGAGAGATACCCACTCACAGTAACAATCTAGCACTACAACGGATGGAAGTACCAAGGGACTAAAAGTAAGCTTTCAGCTGAGAATAAGGACACAGGGCAAGAGTGGTTTTTGTTTTGAGTAGGGAAGGGATGAGGGTTAAAAAGAAGGCTAAGAGCTGCAAATAAGGGAAGCCAAAAAGGATTTATTAACTGCACTCCCTCACTTTGACCAAACCGTGAAGTTCCACATGCAAGGAATTTTAAGCAGAGTCCAATGGGGTAGAGGTAGGGGGAAGTAGCTCAGAGTTTTAAATTTCCCCAAATTACATGCAAAATGTTGAATTTAAGGACAATGAAAAGAGGATTCCTACCTTTTATAGCTTTCAAAGAGGTACAGGGCCCCAAAAAGGTTAAAAATCACTGCTATAGTGACTTCTCTGCTTTTCAATGAAAAGATAAATGGAATAGAACAGAAATTCAATGAAGCCAATTTGAGAAACAAAATGTCAGACCGCATTGTAGAAATTCAACTACCAATACAAAAATAACAACTGTTTGCTGAAGCAAACTTAGCCAATTGCACATAAGCAATGAAGAAAACCAAGTAAGAAATCTTGAGAAATGACTCAAGGTGCCTAAAAACATATTTAAGGACCAGATGATAGACTGGGGATGCAGACACTCAGTAGAAGCTGGCTCCAAACCTCAGTGGGGAAAAAACAACCATAAAAAACCAGCGGCTTTAAATGGTCCCACAGGCTTTTCTCCTTGGTGTTCTGGATTCTTGGGCGTTGGGATGTTTGAAAATGTGGCCAAGAAAGGATAAAAAACATTCCTAAGCTTTTCCCCCATAAATTTAAATGAGAGAACCACTCTAGGAATAGAGAATTCCATAATAAGTTTACAAAAGTCTGCTGAGCCTAGACATTATGTAAGAACAGATACAGGACCGTTCACTTGAAAGAAGCCATCACCCATGGGTTGGGGTGAATCAGATGACCCCAAAAACTTGCTCCTGGGACATGTGCTTAAGGCCCAGATCTGACTCCTCAGCCCTTCCATGGCAAGGGGTTGGGGTCAAGTATCGTGCTACCCCCGCTTCATCAGCAGCAACAACATCACCCATTAGAAATGCAGAATCTCAGGCCCCACCCAAGACCTACTGACTCCGATTTTGCATTTTAACCAGATCCCAGGTGATTCCTGCGGACATCAAAGTTGGGAACCACTGCTCTCAGTCCTTCCCAGTGGAGAAACGCAGACGAAGACAAATGAGGCTGTCTATCAAGTTGTGGTGAACTTGAAAAACAGGGCTGAGACACTGGATCTAGTGCCAAGGATTTTGACTCACTGCCGAGGTGGTCAACAACCTGAACAAGATCTCTTTTCCTTTTCTTTTTCTTTTTTTTAAACATAAGGGTAAAGAAAAAACATCCAAGATTCACTTACCCATTGATAGATGTTCTAGACATAAACAGACTAAAAACAGATGACACAAAGGAGTGGTACAGTTGGATAAACAGCCAGCCCGATTTCTCAATGCTGTTGTTTAAGAAGATCTGTGTTCCTTGATCGAGGTAACTCTGAACAAACACAGCCTGGAGTGATTCGCATAATTTCTCTCTGTTGCACTCGTACCACTAAAAAAAAAGAAGAAGAAAATGAAAACACACAACTGTACCCTCTGGACTCTGAGATTAGGGAAAACTCTGCTGGCCTCTCCTGCACTGGGATGCAGCGCAGAAGCCATAACCAGCTCTGTGAGCCTTGTTCTCAGGTAAGAGAACAGTCACCTGAAGCAATGATTTAACTCATTTAACTCAAAACCACCAACAAATCAATGGCAGAATAAGCAGCAACATTTAACCCTCTAGAGACCAGATTATGCTGCCTTTTCTTCCTGTGGGCTACATACACTCTACTAAAATATTGAGTGTGCTTTACCAGATCATAAGACATTCTTACAGACAGGGCAAGATGTGCTTGAGAAAGATTATGAACTTACTCAAGGCCACACTGTGATCAATAAGAAGACAAAGTAATCACGTGCTAAGAATCAGATTTCCAGGAATATACTTTTCAGAACAAAATTCAAGAATTTTAACTGTGTCTGAAATTTAATCTTCCACAATAAGTGTTTCCATTTGCATTTAGCGTTCGTGAACCAGAGAAGGGGGAACAGACAGGCTCTGCCATTCTTTTTTTTTTTTTTTTTAATTGATTTCAAGGGAGAGAAGGGAAAGTGAGAGAGGCAGGGAGAGAGAAACATCAATGTGAGAGCAAAACATTGATGGCCTGCTGCCTCCTACATGCCCCTTACCAGGGATCGAGCCTCTGACTGGGAACCCAAATCGGCAACCACAGGACAATGCCCAACCAACACTGGGCATGGCTGGCTCTGCCATTTTTGTATGATCTCAGACAACTCACTTAATCTCTGAGCCTCTATTCATTCATCTGCAGACTAGAAATGCTACTAGTATCTGTCCTCGTACTGAGGGGATTAAATAAGGTAATGCAGACAAAACCTCAGTCTAGGACTAGACACACAGGAGAATTCTGAATAATAATAGCAATGAGATTCCTCTAATGGCCTGATAAATAACAGTAAGCCCATTAAGTACAATGACACAACCCATTACTATTAATCCATTATGTACTAAAAAAGATAATCCATTGTTTCCCAATAAGGAGCCAAAAATAATGTATTTCCCCTAACAAATATGACTATTTACCAGCTGTAGATGTTCCATAACTGCTTGCACAGTTGGTGGACCAATTTTATAGTTATCCTAATCTTGCTAAATATTGAATGAACTCTTGGGTAGTTATAAACCAATACAAACAAGCAAATAGGCACAAAAGTTTCAAAGACTACCTAATCTTTTTACAAATCCTGTACCCCGAACTGGATAACCCAAATCTTTCCAACTGTTGACTGATTTGTGTTAATTTACCATTTAAACACTGTTATCAAGACTGCTTGCACTTGGAAGATGAGTTTTGTTTTTACCACTCAATATGACAAGCTCTGAAGCTACTTACATTCACTTTTTTCCTTGGTCTAAAATGTTCATCCTTAATCACTAACTAGTTCTTAATATTCACTGTGCCTTAAGGGATGCCCAGTGCAGGTCATAAACTGTTTTCTTTTATCCTCATGGCCTCCTGATGCACATTCTGAACTCTGTAACACTAATGCCACTCTGACATTTATTTATTTACTAGAGGCCCGGTGCACAGAATTTGTGCACGGGTGGGGTGGGAGGGGGTCCCTTAAGCCCAGCCTGCACCCTTTCCAATCCGGGACCCCTCGGGGGATGTCCGACTGGGGCATAAACCAGCAATCGGACATCCCTCTCGCAATCCAGGACTGCTGTCTCCTAACCGCTCACCTGCCTGCCTGCCTGATCACACCTAACCACTCTGCCTGCCTGCCTGATGCCCCTAACTGTCCTCCCCTGCTGGCCTGGTCACCTCTAACTGCCCTCCCCTGCCAGCCTGGTCACCCCTAACTGCCCTCCCCTACCAGCCTAATCGCCCCTAACTGCTCTCCCCTGCCAGCCTGATCGCCCCTAACTGCCTCTGCCTTGGCCCTGCCACCATGGCTCTGTCCAGAAGGATGTCCAGAAGGATGTCCGGAAGATGTCCGGTCTAATTAACATATTACCCTTTTATTAGTATAGATTGTTCTCTGAAATGACTAATCAAGATGAAAGCCATCTCCTTGGTAATAGGCAATCAGGTACATTCTATTAATGTGGACAAAAAATCCTTCAGATAAAACTGTAGGACTAAGATAACCATTCCTTGCATCCACTTATAAATGGAAAACTAAAACAATTGACTCTGACTTCCAGAACTAAGCAAGAAGTAGCACTATTAACTGCAAATGCCAAAAGGAAAACTCCTTTTAACAGTTCTCAATTCATCAACATTAGCACATATGGTTAAACCTTTACTGCTACATGCATCTTTCAGAAAAGAAACTGCTTACTGAACAAAACGTGCTGCAGGAGTAAAGCTCTCTCTTTAAAGACAAGGGTTGAAGTGCTTGTCCCTCCAGACCAGGGGTCCTCAAACTTTTTAAACAGGGGGCCAGTTCATTGTCCCTCAGACCGTTGGAGGGCCGGACTATAGTTTTAAAAAAAACAACTATGAACAAATTCCTATGCACACTGCACATATCTTATTTTGAAGTAAAAAAACAAAACGGGAACAAATACAATATTTGTATTTGCATGTGGCCCGCGGGCCGTAGTTTGAGGACCCCTGCTCCAGACCCT